TTCGAATGATTCAAAAAATATTTTGCTTGTGAAGAAAGATTAGTTTGGGTTCTTTCCAAATCCAGTTAAATTTTTCTCTTCACTGCAGAAATGGGATAAAACTAAAATTAAATCTACCTAAAATTATTTGTTAAGAAAAATTTAAAAAATTGTTGTATCCCAAAAGATCTTTTGAAATCTAGTTAAATTTTTGTCTTCAAAGCAGAAGTGGGATAAAATGGAAATTGAATCTATCCAAATAACATTTGTTAGAAACTTGCAATAAGTCCAACGCTGTTTTATTAAATTAAAAAATGTAATTCTATTAAAAAAGGTCTTTTGAAATCCAGTAAAATTCTTCTTTTCAAAACAGAAGTGGGATAAAACTGAAATTTAATTTTACCTAAATAATATTTAATAAAAACTTGCAATAAGCTCAACACTTTTTTATTGTATTGAGAAATGCAATTGTATCCAAAAAGATCTTTTGAAATCCTGTCAAAATTTTTGTCTTCAGAGCAGAAGTGAGATAAAAAAATTAAAAATAGAAATTACAGAATTCGAATAGCTGAATTGTATAAGGAGTAAGTAAAAAAAATATTAGAATTTGCTGAGATAAAAAGGAGAATAAAGAAAAAAAATGGAATACATAAAAGTTGAATAGAATTTAAAATTTGATATAAAAAGCAAGATTTGAAGAAAATAAGAAGAAAAATTAAAAAGAATATAGAATAAGATATATTAGGTTGTCAAATATCTCCCTTCCGCCTTTTTGTATTATAAACCAATAGCAAAAAAGCGGAAGGGAGATATTTGACAACCTAATATATAGACTGAATATGATATAAAAATTAGTATAGAATTTAAGTAAATAAAAATGTTGTAGGTGATTAAATGCTTCCTTAGAGTAAGCGAGGCCAAATAAATTTAAAAAAAAATGTTAAGAATTTGCAATAAGTCCATATGATGAAAAATGTAATTGTATCTCAAAAGACCTTTTAAAACCCAGTAATTTTTTCCAATTCACAGCAAAAATGGGATAAAACCAAAATTAAAATTATGTAAATAATATTTGTTAAGAAATTGCTACAAGTCCAAAGCTGTTTTGAAAAATGTAATAGTATCCTGAAAGATCTTTTGAAACCAATGAAATTTTTCTCTTTAAAACAGAAGTGGGATAAATTAATATATTGATTTCGTACTGATTAAGTCGATTATTATACACATTTCGGAAGTTTGATGCAACTTGTCTTAAGGCAAACTGTTACGTAATAATCTTTAAGAAAGAAAGGTCTAATCGATTTCAAAAATTCAAAATGCATTTGATGTATCTCGATGAGGACTATCGTTTCTCAGTTTTGTTTGAAGATTGGACGAGCCGTTTCTTGGAGTTTAAGAGAAAAATGAAAAAAAAATCGAAAACTAGTTAACGTCGTAACTATCTTTAAAAAAATATTTCGACGTTTTATAAATTCATTTCCAAATTTATAAAGTAAATTTGGAATAATAGGCTTCAATTTTAGGACATACAAGCACATGTCTGTGCACTGTAATTAATATAATTAAAGAATTTAAATGTGTTTGGGAGATATCAATTGTAAATCGCAATGTATAGATTTAATTGAAAGCTTAAACTTTATTTATGAAATAAACTGTTGAACATTTTAACTAAATATTTAAATTTCAAATTGGTCGATTAAGTCAATTCTTATACATTTCGGAAAGTTCATGCAACTTGCCTTAAAGCTAAATGCAATTTTCAACTAGTTTAATAAAGTTTGATAAAGAAAAGGACTCTACCGACACTCTATCAACTAAATTCCGGTAGAAGTAGAATAAAAAACCTGTGTCGTAAAAATCATATGTATAATTATAATTTATATTATAATGATCAGATAAAAAAATCTATTGCACAAATGTGCGAGGCAAGGTTAAAATTGCGTAGATTGTCGACCTTAGGCACGTGCACGACGAACGCACACACTTCGAAACGAATTCGTACGCACACTCACGCACAATTCTACACTCGCATTTATATCCATATACGCACATTTATACACTCGGACACTTATACTAGTGTCTTTTATACGTACAAGTTACTAAAAGTGCGACCTTACAGGCGTTTCGTTTCGTTTCGTTTCGGTTTCGAACAAGGACAATGCATGCAAATGCGTAAGGGTTACGTCATCCTGACAATCTAATAAGAATCCAACACATTCCCGTGATATAGTGACTATTGGCAAGTTCAAAATTATATCAAATATTATTTAGTTGAATTAGTGGAATGAAATTCGGTTGGCGAATCGGTTGCATCATCGAGAGGTAGAAGAGGTAATAGTGTACCTTTTCAGGGAAATAAATTTATTGAAAAAATGTTGAAGGAAGCAAAAGAACATTTCAAGTTCTTACCAAATATTATTTAGGTAGATTTAATATTAGTTTCATCGCGCTTCTGCTTTGACGAGAAAAATGTAGCTGATTTTCAAATATCTTTTACAAGGGGTACAAGTACATTTTCAATTCAATAAAATAGCTTTCGACTTACTGCAAGTTCTTAACAAATATTATTTTAGTAGATTTATTTTAGTTTTATCTCACTTCTGTTTCGAAAAATTTAGCTGGATTTAAAAGATCCTTTGGGATGAAATTATATTTTTCAATTTTATTTCATTCAACACTCGTAGCAAGTTCTTAACAAATAGAAATTATAGAATTATAAAAAATTTGGGTAGATTCAATTTTAGTTTTATCCCACTTCTGTTTTGAAAATTTTAGCTCGATTTCAGAATATTTGTTGCGATGATGAAATTATATTTTTCAATTCTATAAAACAGCTTTGTCACTTGGACTTACTGCAAGTTCTTAACAAATAGAAATTATAAAATTATAGAACATTTGGGTAGGTTCAACTTTAGTTTATCCCACTTCTGTTTTGAAAATTTTAACTGGATTTCAGAATATTTTTTGCGATGAAATTAAATTTTTCAACTCTATGTAACAGCTTTGAATTTACTGCAAGATCTTAATAAATATCATTTATGTAGAATTAATTTCGGTTATATCCTACTTCTGATTTGAAAAAATTAGCTGGATTTTAAAAGATCTTTTGGGATAAA